CCCATAAATTCTACATGCCTCTTCATTTCAGCAATCATCTGGAAAAAAGATTCATTTTGTTTCAGACGAAATCTATACAATAATCCGATTATATTAAGTCAAGCTACGTTCGATATATATTGTTGACATTCGGTTTGGGGGCATCACATGATTTGTTATTTATACTTTTCAATGAAGAAGAAGTTTCCACCGTCAATTCAGTTTTATGGAAACTATTCCTCGTGTGTCACGTCACTGGCTGTAATGTATCAATTTAAACCTTCATAGTACTACCCTGATATACATAAAAAATCTTTACTCTGTACTAAGAAAGGTGCACAAGATCAAATACAACATGTTTCGTCTTAATTTCAAGACAAGGCGAAACGTGATAACAGTTGTAGTACTCTTTCGGTTCAAACCAGAACCTTGTGATATGTTCAAAACGTTCAACGGAAAGTCAGTATTTCCAGTTTGGATATTTAGATAGTATATTTCGAATTTTCTTTACGAAAATTATTTATTATCCACTCACATATAATTCTATTTGAGTTCATATACAAGTTATAAAACAATCAGTGGTAATGTCAATATCCAGAAGCGAAGGTTCAATAACAAAGCTTTATCAATAATCAACAATTGCGTTTCAGAGCGTTCAAAAACTTCAGTATGTATAATGTTTATTTTCTGTCGTTGCTTTTTATTCTTACATAAGTATCGGAGCAACTATGGCTATTGAAATAACAATCCCATTATATTTCAAAAACATAATTGTTTGTCTTAAAAACTCATCCCATCTCTAATTATAAAATATATCGAATGATTTCGAAAATTCCATTTCGTTCATAACAATATTTTGATCGTAAACTAAAGGTATTGTTACCAGTTGCTATCTATTGAGTGATTTTTATACTTATAAAATGTTTATAACATTGAAGCTGCTGGATTCTTTTACAATGGGTATATTGCACATACGTGCAGACTGACAAGGTTTAATACTGTTTGCTAGCTTACTTCTTTTATATGACATATCACCACAAGTTTCAGGTAAAAGAGACAGTTTCTCACAAACATTTTTAAGTCTCCAACTTCTCAGCCCGACTTTTTGTAGAAAGAGACATACATGCGTAGGCGTCATACTTTGGTTAAGTTCAGTTTTTGCGTGCATGTTTGTATATATCTCCAAAAGTACTGACGGAAATGAGTTGAAACTACACACTTTACTTATTTGAAAGCATAATAGGAGGTCAGTGTACATGACCCATTATTTTAACTCTTACATGGATTTGAATGGTTCTATCAATTCTAAGATATGTGTAGACTTCTTTCAATTTATTTGTCGGGCTTCCAATCTAGATTAATCAGGCTTCAGAGAAAATCTATACAGTACTGGGATTATTCATAAATCATGACAAGTCAAGCTACGTGCGATATTTTGTTGACATTTTTACATGATTATTTTCAGTTAATCGCTAATGTTTCTTGACATTTATACTCCAGTATAAATGACATTTATGCTTCAGTGGAGATGCCAATGCAGTCTTACCCGTCGATCTATCTTCCTCTTGAGTCACCAGCTGGGACGTATTTAACCTGGGATCATATACTCACATCTAATTCACTAGGTCTATGACCAGTAGTACTAAACAACTTATCATATCTTTTAATTAAGCAAGAATTTGTTGCCATATTTTCAGCTATTCAGTTTAAAAATTCACTGGTAGTCAATATTTCGAATTCGAATTTATTTTAGGTAGTATTTTCGTTCAGTGTTTGAGTTCATAAACAAGTTATAAAACGATCAGTTGAAAATATTAATATACAGGAGCGGTACTTCAATAAGATCTAAAGTACGTTCATAAACAAGTTATAAAACGATCAGTTGAAAATATTAATATACAGGAGCGGTACTTCAATAATAATAAGATCTAAAGTACATGTACTTGGGTTCAAACGGCAGTATTTATCATGTATATTATCATTATTATGATTGTTTCTTATTCTGTTATGTACTTACCTAACATATATAGGACTGGTAGTGAGTGTATGTCATCCAGTACTTCTCTCGCATGAATTATTTGAATATTCTTCATGTATTCCAATTTGAGCCGCGCCACGACAAAACCAACATAGTGCGTTTGCATCCGCGCAGTCTGATCAGGATCCATGCTGTTTGCTTACCAACTCCATTACAAGTAGAGAAACTGATAGCGAACAGCATGGATCCTGATCAAATTGCGCGGATGCGCAGGCTGGTCTGGATCCATGCAGGTCGCAAACGCACTATGTTGGTGTTGTCGTGGCGCAGCTCATTATATATTTTGCTACACAAGTAACTCGCATTATGATAGTCATAGTAAGTTGACATTTGGTCATACATGGCAGCTGTAAAATCTTTACCCTACTTCTATCATTGTTGTTACATCTTTTGGTCCTTCGGAACCAATGTTTCAAAAAATCTTTAGTGTTGGAGATTTAAAAAAATCCGCTTAAACCGGTGCTTAGGGAGATGTAACGCATAACATATAACATTGTCATGACAAGACTCAATCAAGCCAAGTCTGCAATTGTCAACTATTCACTTACTTTAAATATCCCCTTTCCAGATTGTTCTAACATATTTTGTTTGTCATGCCAAGTTATTGTTTTTTACGATCTCGGCAGGTAATCGCTTTAGCTACTAATATATTTTGTGTTAAACGCTCTCAAGGGTTCTCCCTTTACTTGTACTGCATTCTTCCAAGATACAATTAAGAAATGAGGTTATATTGATATGTTAATGATATGTTAAAAACCAATTATCCGTTTAAGAATGCCAAGTTTTTCCAAACTCTATTCTGTTATTTGTATATCTTCGTAGTATATGATTTCTAACCTATGCATTATTAATGTAAATCACTGGGGTAAAAACTAAACAGGATATTATGCAATGTCAAGGACAAAATTTATTCAGTGTCAGAAAACAAAGGGAAAGCAAAAAGATTAATATTTTAAAGTAGGCAATAGTTTATGAAATATATTAAATTGTTTTGTTTAGCAAGTACATATAAAGATAAGGTTAAATGCACATCAAAATAGGAATATATATTTATAACTTTGACAGAAATTGTATACAGTGTCATTTTTAATATCAATTATTTCACATCACATATATTTTTGAGATGCCAAATACAATAACAATCATACAACGTACCTTACTTTACATCAGTTAATATCAAATTAGCAAAAAATAGTAGAAAAGTATAAAGCAAGTCATCTATAACGTCCTTTTCGAAGTATAATTTCACTATAACTAAACTACAGCTTTGTTGTTTGAATGCAGATGAGCAACAGATAAAAATATCATCACGAAATATCGGGAATTTCAGAAAATTGCATAATTAATGCAGGCAAATAGAACATTTGCACAATTTCAAGTTAAAATAAAAATTGTAATGGTAATGGATAATGGACGTAGTTACATGACCTACATATTATTCGCTTTGTGTTCACGTTATCACAAATGGAGATTATAGGCACACACATTCATGTCCGGACCTTTGTCATGAATTGAAGAGTTTTAGTCACTTGTAACAAATGTCTACCACATCAAGATGACATGTTGTGTGTAAGACCCATGTTCCTTCCTCCAAGGTCAATGTCACTCTAATAGTTTGAAGGTACTTATGTTCATAAGAAGAGTTTGAAGGTACGCATTAGTTTTCAAACTGTAAAATTGTCATGATTGAAGGATTTAAAAATAATTTGGAATAAATGTCTACCACATCAAGGTGTTAAGTTTGCTATAAAGAGCACTTCATTTCACAAGAGCAAAATTAAGCAATTAATTACTTTCATTCTCTTTTCTTTTCATAATACTTGCATGCTTAAGAAACCTTTTTAGGACATTCGTCACTTGTGTGACATCTCTTGTTTAGAATTATTTATATATAGTTAAGGACTTTTTTAAGTAACACGTAAAAAGAAGTTACTGTGTGTTATTTTAATTCTTTCATACAAATGACGGTTTCAGTTTTATATCAAATGCATGTACATATGTATATGTATCTACAAGTTTACATACAATTTTATTTATACATATTCAATTACATACAAAGGTCACTATATTAGTGAATAAATGTACCTAGAAAAAAATATCTATACACTATGAAGAAGAAAAAAACACTATGAATATTCATTTTATTCAATAAGGTCAATGCCATTTCAATATATATACATATATTAAAAATGCTAGTTGGAAAATGTAGTAATAATTAAGATATATGGTTAACCTTTGACCCGTATCCTAATTAATTCATCCATCCAGATACGTCCTTTATGATATTGTGCATTTAATGATTTATACATAGCAGACAGTACGTAAAGATTACATTTTATGTACAAATATTTCAGACTTTCATAGTTAATATATTGTTTTGAAATAAAAAAATCAAACATGCAATAAATAAAACATATTCTCACTAACAGACATGCAGTATAACCATAAATGAAATGATGTTCATCATAGACAAAGAGTAACCAATATCAAAGTTAACACATTAACTTTTATGCATACTAACACTGACTATACAAACTGATAGTGCAATGAATATGCAACTACTTATACAATGTAATGTGAAAAGTAGCATTCGTTTTTATTGTGTTTTTTTAAATTTATTTATTTGCTTTGTTTTTTTTTTTTTTTTTTTTTTTTTTTTTACAAAAAAAGCTCTATTACTTTCATTATTACCCTTTACATTTATGTCTGTTTTTTTACATTGTCGTTTTAATTATTTTCCTTTTTTCTTTTATGCTATTATTCAAATGAAAGTAATAAACAAAACAGTGCCACACAAAATAATAAATGTGAAAAATATATGTGTGAAAAATATAAATATTTATGAAAAGGTGAAAACACCCTTCAAATTTTTTACACCGACTATTAAAGTCTTGTCAAGATCTCAAAACAATAACAATATTTCTAAAGATTAGCTTCTTTAAAATATATACATATGTACAAATAAGTCAATTTCTGTCACTTTCTGTCATGTATGTACACTTTCTGTCAATGTATGTACACTTTCTTTCTGTACAATGTCAATGTATGTACACTTTGTTTTACTATGTACACTATAGACATTCAATTGTCATTACATAGTCTACAATTATGTCATTCTATTGTAAAACTTAGAAGTCAAATGAGATATACCAGATAATAGCAAAGACAAGACAAACAGCCTTCTCAGTTAGTGGTTCCACTTTACTGTTACTACAGTAACGAAGTATTTACTTTATACACCTATAAACAACGCAGCTTATTTTCCAGGAGTCACATACTCGTGAACATCTTAATCCCTCCGCCTCAATTGTAATGGTCGCCAAAAATAATGCTACATATATTCGCTATAACTTCAACGCAAAGAACCCTTCGAGGAACAAATCCATAAAAAACATCTCTATTATCAGAACTATTTCGTAGTTTCAAACGGCACTAACATTTTATTACAGTATAAAAATATTTGGTTGCATAGAGAAAAAGGAATAAAACATTATCATAATGTTTGATATTTAAAAAGCACACCCTTACTAGACAGGCATATCAACTACTACTACTACTACTAAAGATGCTCCTGGAACATCTAAAAATAAAGGAATTGCAATTTCATCGCGTGTTGGGCTACGTATTTTTCTTAACTTTTTTATTAAAATCATCATAAATGGTACAACCAAAACTAACTCTTATATATCAAACAGTTAAAAAAAAGTATAGTACGGTAAATTCATTGTAGAGTTTTCTGACTTATTTCGTCAGTATGGAATTATTGGAAGGGTTTTGCTAGATTTGTAGTTTTAGCGAAATATTTGAGCATGTTCGGAGACCAATTACGTATCATCCGGATGTAGTCGCCTCTGATCACTGTCAAGTGATCCTTCTATACGGAGATTAGATGTTTCCGAAAGAAATCTGAAAATGTAAACAGAAGTGTATAAACTCAAAATAGTTGAAATTCAATGTTTTTATAATTTCTATAACAATAAAGTTCATTCTAGGAACAAAATGTGTTAACAAACATCTGTATTTTACATTTCAAAACTGACCGGCAAACACGCGTTGTTACTAGTCAAATTTTAATTTAAACTTAAATTTAAAAAAAACTATATGACACTTTCTACATAAAACTCAAGAACAATAAATTTAATGTTGCAGGCATTCTAATACAATGTAATAAACTAAAGCATAAATAAAATTAATATAACTAAACATCGAGACGAGGTTTTCATAATTAAGGCTAGTAAACTGAATGTGAATAAGGTAACGACCCTTGCCTTTCTGCATTTCTTTTCGCAAATATATCTACAATCTATAGTTTGATATATCTTAATACATTATGTTTTCTTGTGCGACGATTTTAGGTATGTATGTTACAAAAAAAATATATTTCACAGTCTTAACAATAAGTAAAATTTGAATTAACAAAATGTTTTCTCTGCGAAAATGTTGTAGTATAATGACCTCATTTTCCTCCTAATTATTGGACAGTACAATTCGCAATCAATCGGGATCATGGTTTTAGAGCAAAACACACATTTCTCATTAACAATCCTTAGTAATGTACCAGCAAAACCAGGAAATTTCTGTCGGCAAAGAATCCTTTAATTATTGAGATTATTTCCTAATGATATCTCAATAAAGAATATAATATCTATATAGCACGATATTTATCAACTTGCTATAAGCTACAATGTATATCTCGCGGTATTAATGGATACCGTTCATATTCTGTCAATTGTTGGATTATGTTCCTGTACTAATTGTGTTCACATGTCATATACAGGATTACAGCTTTGATATACTGTTTCCTTGTTAAATCGTTGATGTACTGGCTATTTACCTTGTTCAATCCCCTTAGAGTTTTCAATCAATTCAGAATTTACATTCAATATAAAATGATCGTCAAATACTTAAAGTATTAAACATCTTATCATCAATATGTACACAAGGACCGTTCAGATACTGTGAGTATTGACCCCGTTACAAGCCATTTTGATAATATAGTTTTATAAACAGTGTACTCATTCTCTCAAGAACGGATATTTTTCTGGTATCAGACTGTTTCGACAATTCTCAATTTTTTTATTAATTGAGCCGTGTCATGACAAAACCAACATAATGGGTTTGCGACCAGCATGGATCCAGACCAGCCTGCGCATCCGCGCAGTCTGATCAGGATCCATGCTGTTCGCTATCAGTTTCTCTTCTTATTATAGGGTTTGTTAGCGAACAGCATAGATCCTGATCAGACTGCGCGGATGCACAGGCTGGTCTGGATCCATGCTGGTCGCAAACGCATAACGTTGGTTTTGTCGTGACTCGGCTCATTTCTATACCAAATTTAGCAGCTAAACATTTAAAACACTCACTGCTGCATAACATCTCCACTTTCAACTACTAATTGTCTTAATTCATCGCTGTCAGTTTTCAGAGACATCAATCTGTAAATAATTTAAGAGCTAATATCAGCAGATTTCTTTCAAAGAAGTACTTAAATCTTAAATTCATGTGCATATAATTTTTCAAATAGTGCAAATCTAAAAACAAGAGGGCCATGATGGCCCAGAGGTCGCTCACCTGTATATAGCCCCCCCCCCCCCCCCCGGGCCAATTTTTACCCAAGGGCTTTTATTTGTTTATTTGAACAGACTTGGTAGACACCCATAAGAAGATGTTTCATGCAAAACATCTAAGTTCTAGCTCATTGGGTTTTTTAAAAGAAGATTTTTTAAGTTTTTACTATACACATATAGTTAAAAACAATGACACCCCTCGGGCAGGGCCAGTTTTGACCCCCAGGCTTTTATTTGAACAAACTTTGTAGATATTTACTTAAAGATGTTTCATGCTTAATATCTAAACTCTAGCTATTTGGGTTTTTTCAAAGAAGATTTTTAAGTTTTTGCTATACACATATAAGGAAAATCAATGACCCCCGGGGCGGGGCCAGTTTTGACCCCAGGGCTTTTATTTGAACATACTTGGTAGACACCCATTAGAACATGTCTCATGCTAAATATCTTAGCTCTAGCTCTTTGGGTTCTTTAAAAGAAGATTTTTTAAGTTTTTACTATATGCATATAGGGAAAATCAATGACCCCCTGGGGCGGGGCCAATTTTGACCCCAGGGCTTTTATTTGAACAAACTTGGTAGACATTCACTAGAAGATGTTTCATGCCAAATATCTAAGCTCTAGCTCTTACGGTTCTTTAAAAGAAGATTTTTTAAGTTTTTACTATATGCATATAGGGAAAATCAATGACCCCCCGGGGCGGGGCCAATTTTGACCCCAGGGCTTTTATTTGAACAAACTTGGTAGACATTCACTAGAAGATGTTTCATGCCAAATATCTTAGCTCTAGCTCTTTGGGTTCTTTAAAAGAAGATTTTTTAAGTTTTTACTTTATGCATATAGGGAAAATCAATGACCCCCTGGGGCGGGGCCAATTTTGACCCCAGGGCTTTTATTTGAACAAACTTGGTAGACATTCACTAGAAGATGTTTCATGCCAAATATCTAAGCTCTAGCTCTTACAGTTCTTTAAAAGAAGATTTTTTAAGTTTTTACTATATGCATATAGGGAAAATCAATGACCCCCGGGGCGGGGCCAATTTTGACCCCAGGGCTTTTATTTGAACAAACTTGGTAGACATTCACTAGAAGATGTTTCATGCCAAATATCTTAGCTCTAGCTCTTACGGTTCTTTAAAAGAAGATTTTTTAAGTTTTTACTATATGCATATAGGGAAAATCAATGACCCCCCGGGGCGGGGCCAATTTTGACCCCAGGGCTTTTATTTGAACAAACTTGGTAGACACTTACTAGAAGATGTTTCATGCCAAATATCTTAGCTCTAGCTCTTTGGGTTCTTTAAAAGAAGATTTTTTAAGTTTTTACTATATGCATATAGGGAAAATCAATGACCCCCCGGGGCGGAGCCAATTTTGACCCCAGGGCTTTTATTTGAACAAACTTGGTAGACACTCACTAGAAGATGTTTCATGCCAAATATCTTAGCTCTAGCTCTTACGGTTCTTTAAAAGAAGATTTTTTAAGTTTTTACTATATGCATATAGGGAAAATCAATGACCCCCGGGACGGACGACGGACGGACGCCGGACGAAAAGCGATCACAAAAGCTAAAAATAAAAGTGACATTATGCCCATCCAAATGTTTTAAGTGAGTGAACAGGAGAAAGATATAATAACATTTTCTCTTAATTCCTTTAAATTTTATAATTAATTCTGTAAATATCCATCGGAATTCGCCTGCTTTAAGTTCAACCGGACAGTCTTTTTATATTTTGATCAATATTTTATTCTAAACATTTTCCATTTTCAACTGTTGGTAAACAGTCTATGTTGGGAAATAAAAAGTCAATTCAGCACATCTTAACAATTAAAATGAGCATTATGTCAATTCAATAATTTAAGTCAATCATAGTTCATGGTTTATAGAGACAAATCTGAGAATGTGCGAGTCATATCAATAGTAAAATTTCAAAAAGAAAATGTGGGTATGTTAACAAAAAACAAACTGCAAATATATACACACATGTAAACAGCCCAACACTCATAAACACACACAAATGTAAAAATAGGCTTAAAATATATCCAGAAAAAATTCACGGAACCATATTAGAAATATGACAAATGACTTAATATGCAATTTCTTATTAATATAAATAACAAACACTTAATAACTGATGAACTGATATCTAGGTGACAAATGTTTGTTTTTAGTAATATTAAATGATTAATAGTGACAAATAATAATGATGCATTAAATCAGAGAAATACAACATCAGCTTACTCCTTTGTTAGTTTGTCCAGAAGCATTGTCCTCTGACGTTTTGGTTTTGTGCTACCCTCACGACCAGACGAATCACTTTCTGACGTCACAGATTCTTGCATGCTTAACTCACTTCGAATCGGTTCATATTTTGCCTGGGCTGTTGTCTTTGGAAAATATACACAGAGAATTAAGAATATATGAGGGAAAAGGAAAGAGAGTGTTTAAAGTAAAATGCTCTATTCATAACAACGGACGTTTAACTATATAATTACAATGAGAACATAACGAAAAGTAAATACATAAATATAAATACATGTATAATAGAATAACTTTCTTTCAAATAACGTTCCATGCTAATTAAACCTAGAGTCCTATCATATTAACTTCACCTAAACGTTACTGTTTAAGAAGAAAGGTTTCTAAAAGCATTTATTGCAACTTATTGTTTCACAATTTCAGTCAAAATGGTAAATTGGTATTCTGCCGCCTTAAAAATGTAACCATTTAACAATAACTAATGAAGCAGGACAAAATTGAACAAAGTTTTGAGCAAGTAAATATGACTTTGGTCCTAACAACAGACACGACTGGTTGTCATTAAAAAGTAAAATACAAAGCCTATTTCACAATTATTTACGTTTGAACGTTAAGAAAATGGAAGGACGACTTGTTCGCGTCAAATTTATAAAATATATTTTTTTAAATAAAGGTACATTTTCGGAAGTACTTTAAATAAAAATGACGTAACAAAGTAAACGATCCAAGGTGCGAGTTCTGGTATTACCTCAGCTCCGGGTGGTTGACTACGAACATCGCTAGCTGCTAGGGGCGACATTTTAAATCTTCCTTTACAATCAACAAGGGTCTTCTCCAGCAACTTTGTTATTTTTTCAACTATACTGCGGCATTTTTCTTCTTTCTGTTAAGACGTCAAAGATGAACAAAAGTTTTACAGTGGAAAACAAACTACGATATTCAAGGGCTCAATGCATAAATGGTTGCCCCTAAAACGGAAATAGGGTGAAATCGTTATAAAGTATGCAAATAAATATTACAAATGACACAAATGATGCTATCAACTCTTCTTTCTTTTTGCACAATTTATCTACTTGCCTTTTTTGCAGTTATATAATATTACAGGATAGCACAGGGAGTGCATTTTCCAATATTTTGTGTGAATATGTCGTCCAAGGTTTATGGCTTTAAATGTTCGTTAATGAGGAAAGGTTTGTGACTTTAAATGCTAATTGAGCCGAGACTATCCTTAAATCACTTATACGAAATAAAAAAAGACTTTCACTTCACTATAATCAGAATATAGATGATGTTTGATAACTATGTTGTTATTAGGTTTAAGACATTTTTAATCTCCATGACATCTATGTAATATTGCCATGATGAATTTCTTTACACTTGCATCACATCAAAAAGAAAAAGGCATTTTACATTGGGGGGGGGGGGGGGGGGTAAAAATTTCTAAAAAAAATGTCCAATTTCATATTCAAAATGCCGAGTTATCCTTCATCCGGTGCTAGAGGGTAGCTTTTACATAACACTTATTCCATAAATGTTATAAAGCTCGTGAATAGTTTAATACATGTTTGTAAGTCACTGATTCCCTTTATTACGCGGTCTTAACTTGCTTCATTTAAATTCATTTAGCAACCACAACTCATATGAAATAACATATTTACATTTTCGTAAAATTCAAATCAATGAAAGTTACAGTAAAGAAAACAGCATTAAACATTTGCATGAATTCACAAATCATTGGTCGGTGTACGTTTAGTTTTCAATTGCGTTGACTGTACAATTTTATCACAACTAGATATAAGGCTTTGATTTATTTGCATCTTACTTGTTTTAGCCGATCACTCAGCTGCAATAAACTGTCTTTCACTGACGATATGTTTTGTTCTACTTTCTTGGTGCGTGTTAAGTGTTTTGTAAGATTTCTGAAACAAGATATTTATTAAACATTAACACATCGTGCTGTTTCATTAACTAAATTAACTGTTTCATTAACTAAATTAACTGTTTCATTAACTAAATTAACAAGCAATAAGTAGCTATCGTTTTATATTGAACAAACAAACAAACAAACATGAATAAAAAAAGATATGTAACAAAGTATAAGTTATTAAATGAAAATAAATGTCATCCCCCAATCCTACCCGAGAATGTTATGAACAATTTGTCAACAGACCAACGGACACAGTTCTTAACAAACCAACGGAATCAATAAGAATCCTTGTATATCAAACAGCACTAGCTACGTGTCTTCTATCAGGTATATCACTAAAATATTTGTAGGACTAGTTCAAAAAACAAATAAATGCACTAGCTACGTGTCTACTATCAGGTATAGCACTTAAATACTTGTAGGACTAGTTCAAAAAACAAATAGAATAGCTCGAATCACTTACACATGTTAGCTGTTCAAATATTACCAGTCTAATTATAATTCAAATGACGCTCAAATGCAACTTGTTTACCGATTTTTCTATTTCTTCATTAACAATCGTAAACAAAACAGTTTTCATGATATCCCAATAAAATAGCGACCAATAAAATACACAAAAAATCAATCAATCACATATATAGAAAACATATCAAAATACATTTAGAACAACCAAATGAAACGGAGTGTTTCCTTCAAAACAAAAAATAGAAATGGGTGAAAGACAGAATACGCCGGATTTCATTTGTATACCAAATTTCATGGGGGAAATGATTTTGCCAAATATCAAGAGGCTGTGATAAGTAGTTGCTGAGAAAACTGTTACTAACATTTCCTACAATTGACCATAAATGTCGAAAATTAAACTAAGTCTGTAAACAGGAAGTGGATGAGCGACAGACCTGTAATCGAATCCCACAGTATGGGACCAGTGTTAATGTTGTATGCCAAATATAAAGAGGATGTGATAGGTAGTTGCTGAGAAAACTGTTACGAAAATTTCCTACCATTGACCATTAATGTTGAAAATTTAACTAAGTCTGTAAACAGGATAAGGATGAGCGACAGACCTGAAATAAAATCGCAAAGTACGGGAACATTTGTAAATGCCATATACCTAATATCAAAAGGCTGTGATAAGTAGTTGCTGAGAAAACTGTTGCGAATATTTCCTACCATTGACCATTTATGTCAAAAATTTAACTAGAAATGGATGAGCGACAGACCTGAAATTGAATTCCACAGTATGGGACCACGTGTTAATGATGTATGCCAAATATCAAAATATCAAGAGGCTGTGATAAGTAGTTGCTGAGAAAAGTGCTACAAAAAATTCCTACCACTGACCATTTATGTCGAAAATATAACTAAGTTGGTGAACAGGAAGTGGATAAGTCACAGACCTGAAATCGAATCCCACGGTATGGGACCATGTGTTAATGCTGTATGCCAAATATTAAGAGGCTGTGATAAGTTCTTGCTTAGAAAACAGTTACTAAAAATTTTCCCACGCCCGCCCGCCGCCGCCGGCATTTACCATACTATAACCCGGGTTTGCAGCTGTGCACTCAGGTAAAAAAATTCAAATCATTTATCTGATCGACACATGGACATAACTCAAATATCATTTATAACAGATATTTTAACAAAACTATTAAATATCTAAATCATATAACATGTAACAAAATCTGTCAGTTCAAAGCAATTCTATACAGTTTAAAATAAAAGCTCCCTATCACTATATATAATAGTCAGTCATTACACTAATTCATGAAAGGCAAATAGCCGGTGCTAGGGTGGGTGTGATTGTCATTTTATTGTTACACTGCTCAAATGCATAGACATAACCAAACCGAGTCTGCAATTTTCATATAATATTGTTGTTTTCTATGCTTCCAAGGGATCACATCTTGTCCAGATTTTTATTTTTTTACAAAATTATCAATGCTACGACCAATTAAGATATTCACCTTTGCTTCATAAAATACACAAAAATACACTATTCCTTTAACAAAGAGTCTAGGCATAACTTTGAGATTAACACAAAACAACAACGGATATTTTCAAACATCATCTAATTACTAAACTGTGTATATATAAACAAACTAATAGGTTCCGAGAGTATTATACATCACTTCCGGTTGAAAATTGTAACGTGGCTTAGTGCGTGACAGGCCTAACTTATAAACACACATTGTAATAACATGAAATGTCAATCCTTACTTCAAGCTAGCTCAGTATTACCTGCTAACTATATCACGACCTTCAAACCACCTTGAGGAGGATTTCAAACAAGTTCAATATAAATGCGTTTTCTTTAACCTTTTAGTTTGAATGTTTGTAGCATCTTTTACAAAACAGTGATTTAATCATGCACGTACTGACCGATACATAATGTTTATTTATAGAACCTCTAAAAGTTCCACACGGAACATCTCCGAAAAACGGCGTTAAATACATCTCCAGGTAAATCGTCACAATTTTTTTTATATTTGTGTAACAAAATATCAAAACCATAGCGGTCTGTTGTTAACAATAGACATATCGCTTTCAAGACTAAGACATTTGTGTGGGTTTTTTATCCAAACAAAATTCTACGTAAATGTTTCTTCGTGAATTTTTGCAAAGTATTGTGAAACGTACATAATGTATCATATCATAACTTTATTCAACCACAGACGATAGATTTTTCGTAGAAATTTTAGTGTTCGAAATAATTTTGTTTCTCATCTTGGCTTACCCCATTTCACGCTGCGTACTTCGGTAAACGTTTTGAACATTTTTCTTGCAATGTTCTACTGCTAGCGACCACATAAACATGTTGTATTCCTGAAGCTTCTGTCTGCAAATGATAAAAAACAGTAGAATTAGCTTTAGTTTAGGGTAATTTACACTGGTGGAAAGCAATCAAATTGGCTCATAGGAAAATAAATATGAACTGGTGACAAAATCAACAGGAATTAGTGCAAAACCAAAATTGCTTTTAATCATTCGTGATTGAGGTAGAAAATCAGCATTAAACTAGGAACCAGTAGTGTTGTCTCAAACGAAGGACCAACAATTTACTGTTGGGCAATAATCCATAATTTCGCTTAGGAGCAAAAGTCAATAAAATTGCTTCACAGAAAGGTGATTTAGAGCAATGATATACGACATTATACTTTGTTTATACACAAGCAATACTGTCACTGGTAGATACCATTTCTTCAAACAAAAGAAACAAATGATAATAACTATGATTATAGATTTTACCAATATTCTATTAACAGTATAAGGGTATATTATACGACATGTCAATAATATTCAATGGGAAAGAAATGCTATTTAAACAATTGTAAATACTAAAGAGTTGTCTGCAACTATTTCCACAATATAATCAATGTTAAGCCTTTCAGTATAGATTTTATAACAACTTGTACATTCTACATAGATGTTTATTTCATATCTTTAAAAGTATGTAATATATCCAGAACAAGTGGGACATTGGATCGTGTAAGCTTTTAGTGGCCAATGTGACTCTCGGTCACCTACTTGTCATGAATAACCTCCAAATCAAATCCAAGGTTTTTTTAGAGAAGACGATTTTTCAATTGTTTGCAATGTACATAAAGATAAAATCATGATCCCCAGGACAGGACCAATGTTGATCCACAAAACAATGTTTCGTGCCGAATATCTAAGTTCTAGCCCTTTAGGTTTCAAATAAGACGAAATTCAAGTTATTGCAAGTATATACAGGCATAACATAAAAAAATAACATGACGCATAATGAAAGGCAGGTATTGATCCAAGAGCCACAAAAAGTCCACTAGATGATGCTTCATGCCAAATAACTAAGCTTTAGCCCTTGATACTTCATAGAAGATTTCTTATGTTTTTACTATTAATTTGAGCATAAATATACATATTTAAAAAAAAACCTTGACACCCTTGGGATGGGCCAATTTTTAGCAATAATTTGTACAATCTTAGATAACTAGAAAATGTTTCATGCTCTAGCCCCTGAGGTTTCAAGGAAGAGACTTTGATGGTGTTACTATATACACATAAGGAAACCACGTGACCATCATGGGCAGGACTAATTTTTACAATATGTCATGCCAAATATCTACGCTCTGGCACTTGGGGTTTGACAAAAGATTTTAAAGGTTTTACTTTACTTTTTTTCAATTATAACAAAGAAGGGAAACTTATGATTCCCTTGGGCAGGGAAAATGTTGACCCAAGAGGCCATAACTAGCTATGTAAACGACTGAAACCATGTGAACAACTTTGATAGGGGAATACGGAAAGATCATTTAGTTTGTACAATATCCAGTCTTTGGTTTTCAGGTGATTTTTTTTTGAAGAAATTGTTGACGACATACGACGACGGACGGTCAGATGAGGGATCACAACAACCCACCATGAGCACGCAGTGCCCGGGTAAGCTAGTGGGTATAATGTCTATAAAGCTACATAAACTATTAATAAATATTAGATTAGAATTACAACAAAACCAGAAAAACCATTTATCATGACGATTTTAATAATTATTATCATTTAAAAAAAAAAGATTTTTGTTTCAAGTGAATTATGGTTTAACGATATGATATGTAAAACACCAACTTAAGTTGTTTCTTGCTTTTTATGAAAGAAAAAAAACCCATAAATAATGTTTGCACTTACTTTTCGCATTTATGAATGAATTTTTCATGACTATGTAGGTCGCCATATTTGCGATGTTTTACCATCGTAGCAGACACACTAGCTATTTTGTTCTTCAATGTTTCTGCTTTTGAAAGACTGAAAAAAAAATGTAAATATATATCATACATGTACGAGTATATGGTTCAATACAAAAAGATGGATTTCTACAAAGATGATTATCTTTAATTGTTATCTCATTATTCAAATATTATGGGGAAGAAAGTGTGTGCATCCAGATGCTTACGTCAAAAAAGGTGAAAGATGGATGATGACAGAACTTTTATTCAAATTAGACATATTCAGTTAGAATTTCATAGATTTCAATAAATTTCTGTGATTAAAATATTTTACTCAATGATGAGCATAGTATATCTTTAAATGCAAAAGCATCAGTTTGAACATATAGTACATGAGTGCCACACATTCCATTGGTTTGTCACTCTACGGACATCCTGGCAGCAGGACAGCGTCAATGAAGTACGGACGGAAAAATTTTCCCCTAAATGGTGGGGGCATACAAATATGTATTTGTAGATTCAAAACATTACCTCGGTTCAACATAGTTTAAAAGTTGCAACTTTGCATACTATTTTAGTTGTTATAAGAGACACATTTCAATGTTTATGTACAAAAAGGAAATCTCTTTCTTTCTTACCACTCCATGGATATGGACAAATTCAACAAAACACGGAAACATTGGCTTACCAATGGTCATCCTCCACACAACCATGATTATGCCTTAATCTTTCTATCTCTTGTTCTGATATACGTTTACTTAGAACGCTAACATATACCTCGATCTCATTAAGGCGCGTATATATCTGAAATAAATACAATGGTAAATTCATTTCTGCCTGCTACATATACTTTAGTATACATAATTGAGCCGCGCCATATCAAAACCAACATAGTGCGTTTGCGACCAGCATAGATCCAACGCATCTGCGCAATCTGATCAGGATCCATGCTGTTCGCTTACAAACCCTATTACATGTAGAGAAACTGATAGCGAACAGTATGGATCCTGATCAGGCTGGTCTGGATACATGCTGGTCGCAAACCCATTAGGTTGGTTTTGTCATGGCGCGGCTCATATGTTCTTAACCAAGAGTTAAGGCAGCCTATGTCGCTCTTTCACAGAATAAAATCGTCACGAAATTGTGTAATACAGGTCTATTTAAAGTAGATCTAGCAGCGTTCCAACTTCAGACCAGACGTAGCATTAAATTACGTTTGCTTATTTTACAATATTCTATATAATATAATTTCCCAGGTCTTAAAATAGAAATAAAACTACCTTTCATAGGAAGCGTACATCTACCAAAAAGGCTAGCAATTTTGAGAATAGATATACCAACTAGGAAAAGGGACTTTAGACACGCAACTTGTTCTCGATCATAAACAGAGTGATATCATAATCTATTGTCAAAGTGGTTTTAATTTTCAAATTATGATGTAAAAGTGTTGTTGCTTTTTTTTTCTTCATCTTTTTTTATATTTATGGTCAGAGCATTTAAAAGCAATACTCAAGTATATTTTCGGTCAGCAACAACTTATCTACATTACCTTCTCATAAAATACATCAAGTGACTCTTCACGAAGACATTGTAACAGTTGGTTGACTGGTTCCTGTAGAGTCACGGACATTCCTACTTTTGTAGACATCATTTCTTCAACAGGAGTTACTGAGTTCAATGTATTAAATAATTTTAATAATAAATTAAATGTTTTAGAAAAAGATTCTTGGTGCATTCTAGTTTCCTCAAGTCTTTGTTTTATTTCTGGAACTATCCATTCTGAATTTCCTACAGTATTCTTTATGAACCGTCTGAAAAGGACAAATTAAGTGTTTATTATTGCAAATAAAATTTAAATGTAATTAAAGTGACATTATGCTCATGTTTTCGCTGTCAAGTCGAGTTGCATTAGTAATATATTTCAAAAGTGTGACTATTATAACGTCGCTGTAATGAAAAATAAAATGTTATAATACAATATAATAAGAGCCACCGCAGGGCGGGGGCAACGCTCGACGTTTTTACTTTCTTTTCTAAAAGCAAATAATAAACGGTTTAAACAAATCTTTAAAAAAAATAAGGAAAAAAATATGTTTTCTTCATCATTTTAATAGGTCTGTCTAGAAATACTTCTTGTTTTGTTCAAGTATGAGTAATGTCCTCATTTATTTTTTAAGCATCAATGTTGTCCGTTTGAGAGTTCATCTAACAAATTTGTGAATGATTACCTTGATTTAATAATTTTACAGCAGTTCCGAATTGAACAATCGATTATACTCACACTGGACATTTAAATGCAAAATTAATGCATAGGATAAACAAAGCATGCCTCTTAAATAAAGGCAATCGCCCTAAGTAGCAAACTGAAAATTCTCCATGTCGAAAATAAACGGGGAACAAATCTTGTTTATTCATTTCATATAACACACTCAATATATTTTGCAAATTCCCAGATATGTACCGAATTTACTACTGTGTCTTTTAAAAAAAAAAGAGAAAAAAATTGTTAGCATTTCTACAAATACAAATTGTTACCTGAATAGCAATTCTCCCTTCGAGATATGTTTCTGCTGTTCCAAGAATGTTCCTACCGCCGTACATATAAGATAGGCAACGGCAGTGGATTTCTTCGATGATACGGCATCCACGTCGAGGCTTTCCATCGAAGGATTTATATGAGGAAATGGCGCTGTAAATTTACAAGATATCATCTTTCAAATTAAATTATAACGGTTATCATCTAAATTCATAATAATTTTATAGAGGTAATATCTAAATCTTTAGAAAATGTATGTGTGGATTTTTTAAGTGTTTTTTTGTGTTGTTATTGATGTTTTTGTTGTTTGTTTTTTTTTTGGTGTTTTTTTATGTTTTTGGGGTTTTTTTGGGGGGAGGGGTTGTTTGTTTTTTGTTTGGTATTCAACATGAAATCATAAAAAGATATACCTTAATAAAGTTTAAAGTATAATTTACGTCCTTTAAGGTCCTAAGCAATAATTGAAAATAAGACACTCTTCAGAAATGTATTCATGTATTCTTTCGAGTGTAATAATTGTAATTTATTCTAAATTAGAAAGAGAAGGAAATTTGAACAGAAGATTACAGCATACAGCTTACGTATTGTAAAAAGTTTTATTGAATAATTTTCCATCGATTGTCTGTTAACAAGATACCATCGAGTTTTTATCACAGATTTTGGATAATTTCTTATTTGCGCAGTTTGATCTATGACGTCACAAAGTTGTTGATCGTGCCATAGAATAAGCTGATGTATGGCAGGTAATTCCGTTTCCGCTGCAAGTCGGTCTTGGAGTTTTGTGTATCTAAGAAATATCAAAATATTGAACAGTATTTATGCTATATAATAATTTGTCTCACGACCTGGCTAAACAAAATATCTTTGTAGAACAAAACATGACTAATTCTAATACTTTTAAATGCGTTTTTCAAAATATATCTATAGATTGAACAATATGATTTAGAAATTGTCGTTCATTTACACAGTTAAAACTAGAACTGTGTTCAAAGGACACGGTTGCCCTCACTGACAACATAAATATGGTATATAGTGAAAAAATCAACAAAGGGCAATAATTCTGTTAAATTTGGTCGCAGCAAAAATTCCTTCCTTTACTACCATCTACACATTAAGGTTTTTCATCCCTGGAAGTTTGAGCAAAATCTACCATCCGGTTTAAGAGAATTGGTTTAAGTGAATTGTATTCACAAGATTTCGGGACGTACGGACAGACGTACGGAGTCCTACGGACGGACGGACAAGTGCAACGCTATATGCTCCCACTTTGTGGGGGCATAAAAAGTAGGCCAATACTTTCCAGGACATTCCCTACTCTGACCTTTCATTATGAATAACAATAAGATTTAACCACAAACATTGATTGTTAACAAATAGGATGGGTGAATTCTTATTGTATCCACTAATCTGATAATTTGAATTAGAGAGGTCACGGATCTATGCAGTGGTCAATGCTGAAATTGATCCGGAATGACCTTCCCATGTTTGTCTTAATCTACACCTTGTGTACTTGTAAAAATTGTGAAGATCATAGACAAAGTTAACTCTTAGCCTGCTGTAGGCAATTGATTTTACCCATGTAACCAGTGCAGACCAAGATTCGTAGGTACATCAGTCTCGCCTGATCATGGTTTGAACCGTCATCTATCCATTCACTTCATTTACTGAACATTTCTTTTAAAATGATAAATGGGTTTTAGTCCAGATTGAAAGATGGAAATTTCATCCAATTAAGGCTTACGTGTCGGAAGTATCAACGTAAAGACGAATGTGTTGAGCTGTACAACAAGAAAATACATGTAATATAAGTCTATTATCTAGCTTATGAGCCATTTGAAAAAACATGTCAAAATTCCACATCTTCCGTGAGTCCAGTTCCATCAAGCCTGTAAACATTTCTACCAGCGCCTGCTTCAGGTAACTGAAAATAAAAAAAATATAATTTAAAATCTGCTTCAAAGAATATCATTAATCATATCATTACATTTATATTATTGCTATTTCAATCCAGCAAAAATAAAAGAAATCATCTTTAAATCAGCACAGAGCTGTAAAAGTGATTTCAAAACAAAAACAGACAACGTTTGCTGGGTTCACTTAATGCATTACTTGAAAGCATGGTGTTTTCTTATCAAGTTCCATTGCAACCACTACAGTATACATCGGTGATAGAATATCTTAGAATGTGTTTGACGGAAAGTAATATTATTTTCGATGTTCTTTCTCTTTTGTATCATAGTCAAAACACATTCCCTGATACCACAATATGAAACCCCACAAAAAAGGAACTAATGAACGAGCATCTGAATATGATATTTCAATCGCTATCCCTTTCTCTGTCGTCACAATATGTAAACCCCGGACAAAATGAACCAATCAATGGGCATACTCTGGAGTGCGGGTAACTAATACCTGCATTCCAGTTAACGCACTGTGCATGTATACGAATTAACTCTGTCACATTTTCAACAGAAAGGTCCCCAAACTATGATACAAAGAACAGAAATATTGCTCTGCCTCTATCCGAATCTTAATTTCTATCTTGTATCATAGTTTGGGGACCTTTCTGTTAAAAAAGTGTCAGAGTTAAATCGTATACATATACATAAGGTCAAGCTAAAAATGAGTTTTCTATTACATAGACAAGAGCCATCATCTAAATTAAACCGCTGTAACTAAAATTCGAAGTACAAAAATCATCTTACTCAGACATCTGACACGTGTCAGGTAATGTATTACTCCATTCTATTGGTCCATCTAATGTTTTCTGTACTCCTGATATTGCACCGGTTGGTTTCTTTGATGTTATCAAATGCCTGTTAAAAAAGATAACTTAGTAATTGTTGACGCATTCAAGTTATCACAATCATGAAATAGAATATCCTACGTTACACTTAACAAAACAAGATTGCCAAGATGGTCCTATATCGCTCACCTGAGCATAAAGGCTCAAAATAGCGGAGGACTGATGATATTGATGACTATTGATGACAGACATGCATCATGTCTAAATCTAGGTCAACTGATATCAAAGTTCAAATCTGCATATGAAACTATGCATGTCGTATAAATTTCATCAACAAAACAACAAAAAGTAGGTCGCTGGGTCAAATTCGAGGTCAACTGAAAATTCAAATTCAAATCTGCACCTATATCTGTTTCAGTAGTTGTAGATCACAATACAAAAAGTAGGTCACTGAACAAAATCTAGATCGAATTTCAATACTGCATCTGAAACTATGCATATAATTCAAATTGCATAGCTTAAGCTTTGTTTACTAAAAGTAGATCACTCGGTCAAAATTAAAATTTAGGTCAAAGTCAAATTCTGCATCTGAAAATGTGCATCTTGTCCAAATTTCATACAGGCCTTTTAACTACATACAAATAAGGGGAATCCAATACCAACCTATGTGGGAACAATTTAGACTCGATGCCTATAATTTGAACAAACTTGGTAGAAGTCAACTGGACAAATGTTCATGCTAATACCAAAGCTTCAGTCCTTCACGTGTTGGGAGATTTTTTTAAGTTTTAACTTAATACAAATAGGGAAAACCATGATTACCGGGACTGGACCAAATTAGACCGCAGGGCTATAATTTGAACAAACTTTAAAGTGGTCCACAAGATAATAAATAATGTCAATATATATCAGATTTAGTTTTCATGGCTTTTTAGAAATAGAAATTTTAAGCCTTTACATTATACATTAAAAGTAAATTGATGATCTCCTGAGGCAGGGCCAATCTAGTCCCCAGGGCTATAGTTTGAACATACTTGGTTAAGGTTCACTTGACAATGTTAAAAGCCAAATATCGAAGCTTAAATCAGTCTTAATGTAGAGAAGAAGAATTTTCAAGTTGTTACTGAATACACCTACAACGAAAATCTATGAACCCAAACCCAGGGATGAAACCAATTTAGACCCCATGGCTATAATTTGAGTTGAGGTTCACTAAACAATGTTTCATTTACTATATAAGGAAACTCCATGAACCCCTGATGCAGCCAATTTAGACCACAAGCCTATACAGAGCTTTCATTAGATGATAATACACATAAAATATCTAAGCTCTTGCTCATGCACTTTCAGAGAAGATTTTTAAAGATTGGATTTTTAAAAATTATTTTAGCCCTTCTGATCAAGATGTTCAATGGAGCAGAACGATTTGAACATTTTAGTAGAGCTTCATTCTAGGAACATCCCAGGAAAATTTGATCAAATTTGACCCAGCGAGTTCAGAGGAGAAGTCGTTTGAAAAAAGCTCACCACGGACACACTGGCGCACGAACGATAGACGCCGGGCAAAGTGTGATCACAAAAGCTCACTAAGAGCTTAAAAAGTTATTTTCAAAGTTACAGTTTGCGGGCGGCAGTGGCAACGGCAATGCCAAAATGACTGTAACAATACCTCTCGAAAGAAAGGTCAAGCTAAAAATGAGTTTTCGTGGCTATGTGATTAAGGCTGCTATCCTCCAATCACTTGCCATTGATTTATCAATGCAGCAGACACTGCATTTTTTTATCTCACTACATGATATATACTGCGGACATATACATGATTTTGCCTGAAAATATTTCGTAGAAGGATATTAGCGCTAGTTGTCTTCACATTATTGGTGTAAAGGTAACTTGAAATTTAACCAATTAAGCCATTGAAATTTAAGGACATTTTTCATAACGGACTTATTACGTTCTTTTTTGCACTAGAGGTTAACAAACGTTTACACCCAAAAAGCCCACCCCGTTGCATTATCGTTATTACTGTTTTTAACTATAATATCAGCTAACATCTAATTTTATACTAATTTTATTTCATGTTTACAATATTATCAATAGCTGTTCCTGCTTAGTTTAACTTAAGGTATGATAACAAAACTAGGTAATAACTGCCAAAACAACGAGGTCAAGGACCACTTTTCTTACTGTAAACATGACCTACATTGTAGCTGAATTGCTCCGCCCACCGTACGGTTGAAACGGAAGTTGCCCAGTAGCCACGTGATAGAGTGTTACCCCGAGACTCCAGAGGTCAACTGAGGCATCGAACTCTTGAACGCCGGGCCGCCGCAGTACCGCTTGCTCATACATCTTTGGATACTGTAAGAGCGAAACATTTATTAAAGTTTATCACATACATCTATTATGATGACACACTTTTTACTAATAGGTCAAAATAAGAATGCAAATAATACTTTATCACAAATATAGGGCATGTTGACTCCAAAAACCATGAAATATATTTGCAATTATAGCAAAATCAGAAGCATGCACATAAAATGTTCATATATAAGATATATTTATCTTTTAATTTTGCATGTACAAAAACTTATTGCAAGATCTAACGATTTTGCAGATTTCACGAATGTCGACAACATAAAATTTCTTATCCTAACAGTCATATTTATAACCTACTACAAATTTTCATCGAATCAAGGTCATATGTGTGTTTAATTTTTAAAATAAGTTACGTATTTATTTAACCGATATTTTAAATTTCAAAAGCGTTTGTAAAGTATCTAGGTCATATCACCTATTCACGGAAAAGGAAGCATATTAAACACTTGAAGGTTCATGACGCAGTTACTTAACATTTGTTTATAGTGAACTCAGATTACCGTCACGTATGTAGAGATCTGTAAATCTAAATAAGTAGACTTGGCAGTCATGCAATTTTCCCTATGCTATAGCAATCTAATATAATCTTTAAAGTTTATTCATCTAATAAATACCGAGACGGTACTATTTTATGCAGACTTGTGATATAGCAAATCAGAATAAACTTATTCCGTAGCTCAAACAAATGTTTATTTTTGATACAGCCTGATAAACATTGCATGTATGATGTTTCGTTGATCTTTAAAAGTTGCAAAAATGTTCCGAATATGCACGATATATATATCTAGTTTGTCCACAAATCATGTGTCATGCATTGTACCCTTATCACACAAACCCCACCTCTTCAGAGTAAAAGTTACTTTGACTTTAAAACCTACATCGCTTAGGTCAAAGCCACGCCAATTCCACTCAGTCCGAGGTGCAAAAATAAAACTGCATTATGATGCGGGCAGCCACCTGGTTTCGCATGAGCCCCTCAAGAGGTGGGTGGAGTAAGGTTATAAATAAATGATTTGCAAAGGTTCGTGACATGTCCCATTACCTATGCTGACTGAACGAAGAGCTTGTTAAGCTAACGGAAACTGATTCATTGATAAATGAATAATTGTTCAAAGTGATCTTGATTTTTTTTTAAAAAAATACATATATATACACGATCATTTTAATAGTGATAAGATATTTAGACAACTAAATGTGCAAAAAATCGTATAATAATTAAGACTCTTTTTTTCAAAACAATGACGACAAAAGGTACTTAAAATCAAGCGTAATTGTAAACCTAAATGCAACAAAAGAGCCGCGTCACGACAAAACCAACATAGTGCCTTTGCGACCAGCATGGATACAGACCAGCCTGCGCATCCGCGCAGTCTGATCAGGATCCATGCTGTTCGCTTACCAACCCTATTACAAGTAGAGAAACTGATAGCGAACAGCGTGGATTCTGATCAGACTGCACGGATGCGCAGGCTGGTCTAGATCCACGCTGGTCGCAAACGCACTATGTTGGTTTTGTCGCGACGCGGCTCAAATATCTCAACAACGCCATATCGAAAGGCGGTCTCCGGCGTTCTTTTCCGCGTTCCTCCATAAACAAGGAAACGGCTATGGCGAACATCGTCAGATATTAAATTTTGTGTATGAAACATGAAACTTAAAATACACGTCACTTTATGAAATCATCGATGTTTTTTTTCCTTCCTAGTCTAAACAATGAAATTACTTTTAATGGCCATAATTAAGACGGAACACCTAAACAATATGAATTACTTTCGGTTCACTTTTTTCTAACGGTTATTTCCATGGCGGAAAATTGAAATGCAGGTCAACAGTCTAAAGTATTATTTATTTAAACGAAAATGTTGAAAAGTCGGCTAAGTAGTGTTACAGGCTCCGTTTGATTATACACCAGTTCATGGACAGCAGTGTTTAAGTAGTGCTATATTCTTGTTTCCTTTATTTCAATAAAAGCTTGAAAACTAATTTTTGCGAGCCTGAAAAAGTGATTCATTATGAATTGATTATTTTATAGGTAAATAGAATTAAAAAAGTAATTATTTCAATGGTGTCTGAAAAAAATGTGTCTATGTCTTTCTCAATTCTGCATTTATTTACAGCAAAATTGGTGCGTGTTAATTGCCATAGAGTAGTGAAAACTTATCATACTTACAAGATACTCCTCGGTGCCATATATAGACATGAACGTTTCGTCTTCTTGTAATTCTCTCGCAGCTCCAAAGTCTGTTATCTTGTATAACGATCTGTATAAACCAGATACAGGTAAATATTTCATGTTATCTTGTATAAGGATCTGTATAAACCAGATACAAGTCAATATTTCATGTTATCTTGTATAACGATCTGTATAAACCAGATACAAGTCAATATTTCATGTTATCTGGTATAACGATCTATATAAACCAAATACAGGGCAATATTTCATGTTATCTTGTATAACGATCTGTATAAACCAGATATGGGTCAATATTTCATGTTAACTTGTATAACGATCTGTATAAACCAGATACAGGTCAATATTTCGTGTCATCTTGTATAACGATCTGTATAAACCAGATATGGGTCAATATTTCATGTTAACTTGTATAACGATCTGTATAAACCAGATACAGGTCAATATTTCATGTTATCTTGTATAACGATCTGTATAAACCAGATATAGGTCAATATTCCATGTTATCTTGTATAACGATCTGTACAAACCAGATATAGGTCAATATTTCATGTTATCTTGTATAACGATCTGTACAAACCAGATATAGGTCAATTTCATGTTGTCTTGTATAAAGAACTGTATAAACCAGCTATAGGTCAATATGTCATGTTATCTTGTATACATATCTGAATTATCTGGTATAACGATCTGCATAAACAAGATATAGGTCAATATTTAATTTCATCTTGCATAACTATCTATATAAACCAGATACAGGTCAATATTTTATGTTATCTTGTATAACGATCTGTATAAACCAGATACAGGGCAATATTTCATGTTTTCTTGTATAACGATCCGTATAAATCAGATACAGGGCAATATTTAATAATATTTTGTATAACGATCTGTATAAATCAGAGACAAGGCAATATTTTTATGTTACCTTGCAAAACGATATGTATAAATCAGAGACACAGTACAATATTTCATGTTTGCTAGTATGAACCAGACACAGGGCAATAGTTCATGTTTGCTTGCTTAACGATCTATATAAACAAGATACCGGTACACGGAAATATTTTCTTGTTTTACGGTGCAATAATTTCGTGATATCTTGTATCAACATTTCTTCATGTTATCTTATATAACTATATGTATTTTGGATAACGATCTGTATAAATCAGATACATGGCAATATTTCAACCAGGAATGTGAAACTGGTGTCCCATGATAAAGGCTATATGATTTGTTTGCTTTTTTATTGCAGATTTAATTCAAGGAATGTCTTTTATCTTCATAAAACACTGTAACATGAGATAACGTTATGTCATTTCAGTATTATTATTATCAAAACTATAATCAATAAAAATAATGACAAAGCACTTAGTTAAAGTTAGGTGTTTTCCGAGTAATATTGTTATATTATTACACATTGTTTTGGGCTCGGCAAACACAACAAAAAATCACAGTGATCTTATACAAGCAAGAGGTTCTTGTTATTTGTATATCGACAGGCAATTTACAATTTATTTATAGAAAACTTAGACCGATAAAACATAGTGTGCCAAAACTTAAATCAAGTAGACATCTCAGGTTTCATTCTCTAAATTTCTGTATAAAGTTTCAGTGGAAATTAATCTTTACTTTGAGAGACTGCACGACCAAAACATTCCCATATTTGACATTTAGACAACATTTTTCAACAATTTCTTTTTTTTGAAGAAATATATTATAAATTCTTATTTTATTGATTCATCTGTTTGAAAAGTATGAAAACGTGTACATGACATGTAGCATATATCTGATCACTATTCATAACTTCATTTTACCACTTTTAAGTCATGGAAAGCGTGCACGTTTCATGTCTAGGCTATTTAAAGAAAAAAAATGTTGTTGTTTTATACATAGTTTTGTACCTGCCATCTTCTGCAATAAACCTCATTATGTTTCCTGGTTTTATATCTCTATGTATGTATCCTGCAGAGCGCAAATACCGCATGCCGTCGGCTGGAAAAAAAACAACAACGCAAACTCATTTACCAGTCGTGCAAAATGTCCAGAACGGATAAAAATAATAAAAATAGACGGACAAGGGGAAGTCCCAAATAAACCGATCAGGAAGTTTTCCTGCTGTTTAACATGTTGAATTTAGTTTTAATATTGATAACTTTATACAGCGAGATTAAATCTAATCAGAAAGTAACGATCCTAAAACATACACTTTCTACGGTGTCCAATTTAGGAAAACTTAAAGTATCGCAATGTTCTGACAGCATACACGATATAAGTAGAGAAACTGATAGCGAACAGCATGGATCCTGACCACCCTGCGCATCCGGATGCGCAGGCTGATCTGGATCCATATTGGTCGCAAATGCACTATGTTAGTTTTGTCATGACGCGGCTCAAATAAGAATAGCGGCCCTGCATCTCCGGAGACCTTGACATCACTGAAAGACGCTTCTTACACAACATTTTTTTTCAAATGTCGCCTATTTCTTAAATATGGTTTAAGATATTCTAAAATTTCATCAGAGCGAGTTTGGTCCATTTCTGTACATGATTTCACTGAAATCATTCATTCATAACGGATAATCAGTTTGATATGCGTTATTTGTTTAATATATACAGTAAAACTTCGGTATGTCGAAGTTGATGGGACTTGAAATAAAAACTTCGACAAATCAGGACTTCGACTCATGAATCCGTATCAATTTCGTTAATGACAAAATTTCGATCACACTCGTAGTATTGTTTAACGTTAGCAACACTGACAAAATACATTCTTCAAATCGAAAAATGGTTCTTATGTAAGTATTCGCGCCAACGATATGCATCGGTCAGGCCATTTAAGTGAGTCTGTAGTTTATGAACTGTTTGAATTACTCTAAAATGGAACAGTTCTGCTGAAAACCATACATATTTAAGATTCCAGCACTTAAATTCATTATAAGTAACACCTATGGATAAAATGGACGGAAAGCGCGCGGTGCAACTGTGGACAGTTCTGAAAGAGAACTGGCCTGATACAGGTATTGACGAACATTTCACATTTCAGATTTTTTATAATAAATGAATTTATCCGGTGATATTTGTTGGGATGAAATAATAGTATGATGCGGTTAATATCTTTTGTTATGAGTTTTAATATTTTATTTCTGATTTAGACAAATTTCATTTTCTCTTAAATTTTGTACTTTTTGTTTACTGACTACAATGAAATATTTTTAAGTGACGATTTATATATGCTGTAAATTTCTAGGATATATTTTGCTAATAGCCTATATATTAAAACGTAACTTTTGCCTAACAAGTGTCTTTCAGTGTAGAATATTGCTTCATGACTGGTATGATTATAGACCTTCCGAATATAATGTTATATTTTAAACTGTTTATGACTGTAAAAACTAAATACCAAGATGTCTTAGAAATAAGAGGAACTCTGTTTCCGGAAACCCGTATGCGTATTGGGGCTGTTCAAGCATGGTGTACAGGGAACCCCCAGAGCAGTATTCCATAACAAGGACTTCATTTCCGGTTACAGTCTGTAATAAAACAGAAAAAAATATGCGTAGACAATATCAAAATGAATTCTAGTTACATTAGCTACTGATTTTTTATATGATTAGATTAGATGATTTCGATTAATTGCCAAGTATTTGCTTTGTGTTTACTTTATGAATGCTTTAAAATGGGAGTATAAATCGCGGTATTACAGGGAAAAAACAACCTAGTCAATTTTAAGTAAATGTCTTGTCAAAACTTCATGTAATCCGTTACAAAATTATATCAGCCGGTGTATAAATTTTACTACTTGATATAATCGTACTGAAATGTTATGCATTTTATCAGTATTAATTCGGCAAAATCGTGAATAAAATATTCCGTGTAGTTTGCTTCAATGCTAACTTGGTCATATACGGCACGAAAAGAGGCGGGAAATGTTGATTATCCAAGTAATTGACGGAATGACGTATGCAAGGACCGATATATTACCATAGTCGAGTTAAAATATAAAAGTTGCAAAAAAAAAACCTTTCTCCCCAAACTACAGGCAATATTTATATAACACTCAAAATTAATGTACTCGATAGCTAACAATTCATCCGATGTTCAAAAAATGAAAGTATAAACGGGTACAGTTTTTACAAGGAAGCGTACTTATTTTACATGATATTATTACTATCAGAGATAGAAATATAATTAACTCATAATAACAGTTTTTATCGACAGAGATTTGGTATATATGTGGGTAGTGCAGTAGACTTGCGCACATTTATACCCTGATTCTGTTTTGATATACAAATGTACATGTTTTCCTGATAAGACATAACATATAATCTGCAAATCTAACCGGTTAAAATATATATCAATTTTATCTCATTTATAAGTGCTGAATACCAGTCACGGATAGCAACACTTTTATTACAAATCCTGTATAATTAATGACCTCCAAACCTAGCAACCTATAATACTGTAGTAGGGTCGCTGCATGGTGCTCATTCTTGTTTGAAATAAAGAATAAAGAGACTTTTATAAGGCTTTCCTTCTACAGTAAAGTTATATAACATTTATAAAATAAGCGTATTAATGTAACTAAATACCATCCCCCACTACCTGTAACAGTTTCAGTATAATTATAAATGATTTTTAACATAATCCTACGTGCCTGTAACCATTGAAAAATAAACAAGTTTTAGAATTTGATACGGCACAAAAAGTTTATTTTTTGTTGGATTTATAAAGTATTTATCACCGATTGTTACCAGGGCAGTGACCGCTTTATTGAATATGAAACAGTAGTTGTGTTAAAACTAGTGAAGCAATCATACAGACTTCCTGTCAGTTAAACAAATCACCATGCCTACAAGGAAGATTTTGTTATAAACATAGGATCTTGTTTTTGAACGTAAACATCCGCAATACTGAGCGATATCTCATACCCGTCGTTTAAAAGGTTTAACTAGTAGATTTATTCACTTAAATTTTCTCCAATATATTGTTTTCGTTTTCAAATACTTCAGCAAAAAGTGATTTATAACTAACCTCTGTTTCAAGAGCAATAAGCTTCACAATATTTTCGTGTCGCAAGCTACGTAACGTTTCTATTTCACGTTGCCGCGTGGAGAACATGTGACGAGCTATTCGCTCGTGGAACACCTTTACTGCGCATACATCACCGGAATCCTAAAAGTTAGAAAAAATCCGATGAAAGTTCATAAACTGATATAGATATTAAGTATATCAAATTCTTTATATATTTGTACATATCAAAACTTCTACAAATCACATATATGAGTTATCCTTGCATTACAATCAGAAAGCGTGATTTTCGTAACTTGATAATTTCATTTATCACAGAAATAAAAGTGATTGTATTTATTTAGTATATGGATCAAACTGTTTATATCAAACTGGTTTGGATATTTCTGCACATACATCTTCCCATTAGTGCACATGCCCTAAACACGTGCCATTTGAGACAATGTTTGGTAACCACCCACTCAATTCAAACCTACGTCGTAATTTGAAACTAATTTCAAACCTAACAGGATAAAACTGAATGAAAGCAACTTCAAGGTATCAAATTTGTCTGAAATCTGTTTTAACAAATTGAAGTTTATGTGTCCGCTTTCTATGATTAGATACAACAAGCGCTGAAGACGTGTGAGGAAAACTGGTCGCTATCCCATTAGGACTTGAACCAATACTGCCTGGTGCAAGAGACAGATACCATAATTATAAGCCACCAATCCCCTTAATATAATTTTAATATAGTTACAAATTAAGTAATATAGCTCCGTGACGAGATATAAAACATCCGGAAAATGGTTATTTATTTCCAATCACGGATGCGGTAAATGCTTCCCCATTTCTTAACACGGATGCGGTTGTCTATTCGGGTAAATAATAATGTTTGATAACATACTTGAAAACTACACTATAGAACTCATCTAAGCTGTGCATGCTCTTCGAATATAATAACAAACATTTTAAGCAAAAGAAAATGTAGCTCGCCACCGAGATATTGCTCCGTGCCCACAGGCGCGGAGCTATTTGTGTTTACTATTTTTTTGTCCATGGGCCCGGATTTTATCAATTAATCCCTTCGATTTACAGCTAAGAATAAATTCGGATACAAGAACTCCTTCCGATTTCTATTATATTGGTTTCCCCTTTGGTGATTTGCAGCATGTCATATTAATGAATGAGAACCGGAAAGCAGTACTGCTGTACATTAATTCGAAAGCTATAAATAGCTATGTAGTAGGGCAGGTTGTTTCCCTTTCTTTGTATATAAATAAATCACTTGGGTTATAAATTTGTTATTTCCTTTTTTTTAGTAGTACATGAAATTATAATTTGTTACATTTTGAATTACATTTACACACAGCATATCACGTATACTACATGTATTAGTGATATAAAAAAGATTTTAGGCATAAGACTTTAATAATTTCGCTCTTGATAATTATTCTTAATTTATATTTGTGAAACTAAATGTTTAATAATAACATGTTGATATATTGGTCGTTTTGAAATAATTATAACTTTAGTATATAAGGTTACAATTTTATTGTAATTGAGGTAAATTATCACCACTTTGTGCTTCAAAATTAACTCTTTAAGGGCATGACTGGTGACATGTCCGGGGTCCGTACTCACAGCGAAAGCTGCATTTTGTACCCTTACTGGCGGATGGACCCTCATTAAGTAAGCATAGACTAAAGATAGATAGAGAGCATCATTGGTAACAGAAACTTTGATCTGCAATTTAAACATGAGGTGTTATGTTTTTTATGAATGGTTTTAAAGCAATTCAACAAAAAAAGATATTGATCTCCCAATAAATCAATTAACAATAGTTTTTTATATATCACCAATGTCAAGTAGCTTTTATATCTTTGACTCGCACGAACATGATCATAGTGAATTTCCTCATACCTGCCTAAAATTCATGTAACAGTCTTCTATTATATTGTCTTATTGATAAATACTGTATCACCATGTAACACGTGTATAACAAACAAAAAAATCCTGAATTTGGTCTTTTTGAAATTCATCCAATTTTTTTCATTCCAGAGTGTGTTCTACTTTCAGCATTGAAAGAAACCATTTTTTTTTAATTTGACATGAAAAAATGCATGTAATATTACTATATTATAATATTAGTCCCTTTTGTTACTATTTGTAAATTTGTTACAATTATAATAATAAAAAAACAGACTTTGATATTTTTATCATCTTATGTTACTGACTACAGTAGTGACACAAACAGAACACAGTACAGTCATGTCACATAACATTTACAAGTCTTGTAAGTCTTGTTTGTATTTAATATATTACTTTCCTTACCAGGTAGGCATCAGTGACAGCATTTTTTGAAATAAAATATCTGGCCCCTCTTTTTAATTATGGACAGTGCATAAGATAAGTATAATTATGCAAAAAATGGTTTACAAAAGATTCGGAAAAATCTACAATAGTACTTAATCTGAATATAACATGACCTGTGCGTAGGAAAAATTTGGTAAGCTATCTGTAATGAGCGCGTTTTTTGCGCGGAGCTTCTCAATTGCTGCATTGCACCAACATTTGTACTTGTCTGTGACTCTGTGCTTGAATTTGATTTTTTGTTAGTTTATGTAGAGCCAATGGCAGATAATTTAAATATATGTCTTACAAAACTTTACTAACGACTGGTTTATATTTCATTTCACTCTTGGTCATACCACAAAGTTTCATTGTATTCTATAAAACAATTTATGTCCCTTCGTGTGAGTGGTTAAGGTAGTTGACTTCAATTCACTTGCCCCTCCTCACCGCTGTGGATTCGAATACCGACAGGAACATGTGAGGAAGCTATCCAGTTAGCTTACGGAACGTCGGTGTCCGTTTGTGCCTTAAATAATGCACAGAAGGGCACCTGAGGTCGTCCTCCACGACTAAAGCTGACTAAAGCTGGAATGTCGCCAAATGACTTAAACTGTGTTAGTGCGACGTAAAACCAATTTAAAGTAAAAAGGTACATTGGTACACTGAAAACCTTTTAAAAATGGACAATTTTTTAAGAACTAAGCCTTTGAACTAAGACATTACAATTGTGAGTGACAACGGCCTGTACTGTTCCTTTATTTCAATGCTAAAACAAAATTCCTATCTTCAGTGACTGAGCAGTTGAAACAACAGTTTTGTAAATTCGGATATTACTAAAGCAATTCAGTCCCTATCAAATTATCAAATATTTACCTTGTGTCGCCCGAAATAAACAACTGCTGTTGCCCCCTTTCCCAAAGCATCTGCGGTATTCCAGATATAGTTTTCTGTCTGCTGCAAGGAACCAGTTTTGAAGCTGGCCGGCGTAAATCCAGCCGCTGCTTGACCACCGTGATGCATCTATATTTTATAAATAAAAATTATGTTGTTATTTACTTTTTCTATACAAGCGATACTACAATATAATAGGAAGTCCATCGTGTAAGGTGACATGTCATCGACCACAGAGAAACTTAACGGTGACCGGTTATTATACCATAGCTGATTAGATATTTCGTATTTAATTCCTTTACGAGGAAAAAAGTTCAATTACCCGATGGGATTTAGACGGCATAGGAACATCTCGCCACCGCTCCTTCTAGTCATCTAATGTGATTGAATATAGACTTGACGTCATGCAATTTTTATACAAGGAAACTTAATATCTACCCAGTTCTCGTCTATGGTTGGTTAATTATCTGAATAATCTCGTATTTAAACATATAGTGTTTAAAGTGTTTAAAATATGAATGAACAAGCATGTACGTGTTTCAGTGGCATGTATGCCGACTTGAATAAATATCTGGAAAAAAGTGATCCCTCGGAAGCATTTAAAACAGCAAAACTACATGGAAATTGCAGAGTCGGTATGATTGAGTCTGTACATGAGAGGGATAATGAAAAAGTGCATCATCCCTCACGCCCCCTAGCATCAGCTTGAAGACAACTTCAGTTGTTCATGACAGAATATCTCAACGCGTAGGTTTGCTTCAAATAGTACGATTCAGCATAGGTTCATTTTGAAAACCCAACGCATATAAGTGTTTAAAGTTGTTTATTTGCGCACGCACAAGCTTAACTCCAGACATGAATACATGTTGAAAATGCGTTGATAAATTGCAGCCCTAGCAAGCCATAAATAATTTACTCTGTTTTATTTCATTTATTTATTTTTTATTTGCTATTTTTTTTGTCAGGTGTGTGTAAATACATAGGCATAAAAAGAATTAATTGCGAATTGCTCATCTCAAAATATGCACCATCAATATCTTAATTACATTATTATTTCATACAACGTTTCGGCCAGGTAATATCTATACAGTTTCTATATAATACCACCGGTGTCTAGACGTGAATACGATAGTTTTTGTTCAATATTGAATCCTTTTTTTTATTATTAAAAGTTACAATATCTCGTGAACAGGTTTTGTACAAATTTAAAATGTTTAATCCTATTATCAAAGTTTAAAGGTTCCTTGATTAGTTGTCTATATATTTAAATCAAGTCTTCCTCTTCCTGATTGAATATATCATGATCTGAACTCAAACTAAATCCAACACCTTTAACATGTATATAAATCATGAAATTCTAATGTGGAATAAGGAAGTCGCCAGTTGTAATAAGTTAAACTTGTGAATAAACTTCAGTCGAGCGAAGATCACCACCATATGTCTATAAATATCCTGACATACATCATATATACGATTCTTTATTAAGCTTGCAATGTTGGTCCACCTGCATTTCAGTTATCAATAACCGGCTATACAGCCAATGCACATATACATTATTGATTATAAAGATTTTTTGACAAATTATATGACCCAATATAAACGGTTGTTTATATATATATAACTCGAGCTGCTATACGAGGTTTATATTGCAAACACTCGTTCATTTATGGTAATATAACGTGTCAAAAAATATCTTTAACGAATTTATTATTCAGTTCCCAGAATAATATTTAAAAATAGTTGATCTTTTGAGTCGTTTCCTTATATTTATCAGTATAGATAAAATCTTTAGATAAACCTAAGTATTTGTTTGTCAATTAGACATTACTTTGACGTATTACGACAACATGTTTTCGAAAAATTGTGAAACATCTGGGACTTATGTACGTGTACGATATCATTTAAAGTCCTAGGAAGTACATGAAGAGAAGATCGAATGTTTAATATACATGTATTTCATGTAAATATTTTACAGAAAATACTCGACAAGTTACCCATTTACTTGTAATGTAAGGCTTCGACTGTACAGTGTACAGTCTATACACCATACTTATACTTTTTATAGAAGCTTTTCACATGGCAATTATTACCTCCCCTGTCCGCCATTTTCAAGGTCATTCCCAATAAAGCATATTGATTTCAACATATTTTATAAAGCATATGCTTAAGATAAGATAAAAATCTCTCAAAATTCTATCAGATAAAAATCTTTAACATAGACCTGTACTTCAATAATAGTTTGCTGCACGTGAAAAGAATAATCTATGAAATTTCAGGTCTTGAGAAACAAATAATTGCAATGTCGATTTAATAAAGATAAATGCTAGATCTACACGTAATTTTATTCTTATCTAATTAAATTTAAGTCTATTGATTTACTCAGTTCACCCAAAATATATTTACATGTTGAGTACATGTTTTATGAAGTTTACGGTAATGCGTAAAACCAAGTGGGGAATTCCCGACTTGTTACTAATTCTATTTTTAGTAACACAGAAAAATAAATTTTAAAATGAAAAGAATTTCAAATCTGCAAACGCAATAAAAATGCAACACCAATTAATTTTCAGCAAGGTAACATACAAAAAATATTTCATTCTTTCTAACTTAAAAAACCGTACAATACGTTTACAATCTGCATAAATGCATGTCGAAATGCGAAGGCGTATTTAAAAATTTGTCCTCTATTCGCTATTACAGGTGCATATGCTTTTATAGCAATGCAATTAAGAAAGTTTTGTATTTTACATCATAATTTTAATTGTAGGCAGTAAAAATTAATGATTTACCACTGTTCCTGACAATATTTATCCATTTTCCTGCAGAATGTTTCGGTTTCGCTATGACAATCAACGTCGCACATAAACATAACCTTTTGGCCGAATGCGGTTAGCGTATTTTTCCAAATACGTGCGCCTGCGCTAATTTACAGAGTGTTCGGCACATTTGTCTTGCCAATAATGATCAAATAATCGTTAAAAAAATCTCCTCCTGATCATCAAGAACAAAATTATTATCCAGCAACCGTTTGCTAAGTAATTATATAATTTGGCGTAACTGTCAACATTCTGCTCTCACATATTTTTTGTAATAAGACATATTTTCTTATATATATGTGCATGCATAGCAAAATATCTTTCAGTTACCGTTAAAATATTGAGCGATTTATCTTCATTTAGGATAAATGAAATATTAAACTTGAAAAATTACCTCATAATTGCGAGGTCGACATTGTTTGTGCCAACCCATCACAAGTAAGCTTGCATTTTGAAGCTTGCCATTCATAAAATATTATTCCAAGTTGGTTCAAACTTTGTATTCCAACTGACTTATGCTTTTTTGTTGACAATCTATGTCTTTAAAATATGCAATCATCACAATGTACATATTGCTACGATTACGTCAGCGTAATGAATCAGCCAATGAAAACTTCCCATTCATTTTTGACAGAACCATGGCGGACAAGTTTGAAAATTTGTAAAAATGCGCGTTCATGGGACATGTAGGACAATCGTTATAATATATCATAACTGGAATTCACACTCCTATACAATCTAATGAGCAGACAACCGTTCAACCGTCTGTCCATTGTGTTTTTACACCGACATGTATATCGACGGCTGAACGGTTGTATGACCATTTGTACAGTGTGATTCAATGATAATCGTGTTAAGGTCTACCTGAAATAACTTTCATATATAAAAGTTAAAAATATAAAACAGTCCATTATTTATGTACGTCTAACAAGTTTAGCCTACAGGGCAACACTAAATTAATTCATAATAATGGTTACAGGAGTACAAGTAGTGGAGCCGGAAGCAGGTTTATCTTTAAAATTATTTATTAATAGCGTGGTAAGTTCTTAGAGAATCATAATCGTAGGCATTAATGTTGCTAATTAATATCGAATTTCTAATTTCACTCAGAGTGAAACTGCACTCAAAACTATTCAAAAAATGCAAATCCTAGTCTCTCCCTGTCACTCGTTTTCTTTACTATAAATAGTCGGCTGAGTTCCTTCCCCTTCTGCTTAGTAAATAAAGTTCAACATCAAACAAAAATAGCTCATCCTTCTTGAGAAGGAAGAATTATTTTGTTGAAACCGAAAGTACAAAATGTATAGGTGTTGACACAAATTTCGTATTTGGTTATACAATGTAATTGTGTACAATGACCGTTTTAGAAACGAGTATAATTGAAAGTCATATTTTTCAACCATAATTTTTTTTGTCTACAGCTGAAAGAGAAAATCGGAATCCCTAAAACGACAAAAATGTTGCAGAACACGTAAACCACGTGGTAGAACAAATCATTCTATCCGTATTAATTAAGTCCGAGGATATTAAAAATAAAAGCCGAGGTGTTCTGATTGAGAATCACCCTTTGTTTAGCCATGTGGTATAGAACTACTTTTCAATTCGAGATTATAATAACAAAAGAAAAATATAAAAAATACCGTGGCACAAAGGTGACATGTGTGTTTTTAATTATCTCGTGCGCATGACTTAGTAACTCGTGGCCACGACATAGTATCTCGTGTCCACCACTTGATTATCTCGTGCAACTAGTGGCCACGACATAGTATCTCGTGCCCTCGACTAAAAAGAAAAATATATAAAATACGGTGGCACAAAGGTGACATATGTGTTTATAATAATCTCGTACGCAGGACTTAGTATCTCGCGGCCACGACATAGTATCTCGTGTGCACGAGACAAATAAAAACACATAAATGTCACCTCTCTACCGCCGTATAAAAGGGGGCATATCTAAGAAAAAATAATTCCCTTCAGAAATGCATTCCAATTTTCAATCTGAACAATTATTTCAAGTTTAAAGTGATTAATTATGGCAATCTTTGAGAAATTAACGACATAACATAAGATAGGTACATAAAAAATGAGTTTAAGTATTATTTGTCCATCTTTGCCGTTTTGAGTTTATATATATAACTTTAAACATGTAATAAAAAATCACGATTGCACGATAAGTTTTTAAAGTATGGAGTAATGATGTTTTGAAGTTTCTGAGAAAATATACCTGAACGGGAAGGTTAACCAAAGCCGACGCCGATGAAAGTGTCGATGACAATAGCTCCACTTTCTTTCTTTTAAAAGAGGAGTTAAAAAGAATGTCATATAATGCGTTATTGTACTCTACGAAAGGAGAAGGTTTAGTTAGCTTCTTTTTCTTGAAAAGCATACATTTTCCCAATGATCAAAGTACTTATTCGTATGCGCTAATTCATATAGGTCCGGTAACTTACATTGATGCTTATTTGAGCCGTACCATGACGAAACCAACATAATGGGTTTGCGACCAGCATGGATCCAGACCAGCCTGCGCATCCGCGCAGTCTGATCAAGATCCATGATGTTCGCTATCAGTTTCTCTACTTTTTATAGGGTTTGTAAGCGGACAGCATGAATCCTGATCAGACTGCGCGGATGCGCAGGCTGGTCTGGATCCATGCTGGTCGCAAACTCATATGTTGGTTTGGGCATGACGCGGCTCATTTCGGCCTACGCTCATTTCGCAGCTCACTGATTACACTCATGTGTGAACACTCACGTGTGAGCGATAGTGAAACATTCGACCGATGCGCAGGAGAGCTATTTCGGCCATAGATTTTCAAATACTTGGTGTTACCTTTGTACAATTCCTGCACTATTTTTTCATTCCTCAAATACAAAAAAAACGTGACTTACATTTAGATTTTGAAACGTTACCTGTGCAGTTCTGTATTTGTTAATTTACCTTGACATCATCCAGTGACCATGTGAATTCGTAAATATTTACCTTCATTCTTCAAGTTTGACCACCATTTTTAAGGATTTTAAATTGCTCATGAAATAAAAATTTGATTTAACTCTGCATTGCAGAAAGCATGGCACTGGCTAACAACAACTGTTCTCTCGAGAGTGATTCAGTGACCATGACATTTCTGTTATAAATAAAAAAGATGTATTTACAAAGATTCATGTTTGTGTTGACATGAAAATTCACTTTATTGTTTTTTGTTACATTAACAAAGAAGATACTGCATTATAGTCAAAAAAATAAATCTTCAGAATATATATATACATTGGCTAATCAAATGACGCCCACTTCGATTTGATTAGCCAATGTTTTTAAACCAACCCAATAGACCTTTATTTCAAGTTGTGTGTCTGTACAATTTATAATTATTTCGCATATTAATATCACTGGTATATGGTAAGCAGCCTAGGTTACCTAGGATGGATATAGCAATATCACAGCAATATGTAATGTTATACCATTTCAGAGATGAACATATGAGCCGCGTCATGACAAAACCAACATAATGGGTTTGCGACCAGCATGGATCCAGACCAGCCTACGCATCCGGGCAGTCTGATCAGGGCTTACAAACGCTATAGCAAGTAGAGAAACTGATACAAACAGCATGGATCCTGATCAGACTGCGCAGATGCGCAGGCTGGTCTGGATCCATGCTGGTCGCAAACCCATTATGTTGGTTTTGTCGTGACGCGGCTGATATGTCTCTGATCATTTCAATATAGTATAGATTCCCGTCGGAAACTAATTATATAAATATATAATGGTAAAACAATTATTAATGATACACATACAACGCTAAGAGATATCCGAAAATGTGTATATATAGTATATTTTAGACCATGAAGATAACCAAACCCCAATTAAGTCATCTCATAATCTACTTACTTTGTTATCGCACTAAGGATATGTGATGTACTTCTTGTAATCTGGGATGATAGATGTTATAATTAAGAGGTCCATGCAGTCTCAAACAAAAGCATATTTAATTATTAATACAGTCCCTGTTAGATTTACTTAATATTCTAAACTTTAATATATCCACGAAAGTAGTTATCTTTACATCATTCTTTTCCTAGACTAGAAGGGGATTTTGGTTATTTTCATTCTACGTATTATGACATCATGACTATCTTTGCAATATAACATGTAAATGTTTTAAAAGCTGACAATCTAAGATGGAGGTGCAATTCTACCATTTGTTGTAAAAAAATAATTATGAAATGCACTGTGCATATTTTGTAATGTATGCTAAAATGTACTATATTTTACATTAAAATTCAAAATTTGGATTTTCAAAACGTCATTTATTAAAATAGAACTTGGTGATATATGGGTCATGATCTTTAATTCTATGGAAGCTAAGCCACGTGAGAATAAATGATACATCATAGACATATTTAAATATTAATACTCGCTTAAAATAAACCCAAAAGTTTTCTTTAAAAAATTCAAAATGGCCTTTTCTCGTATGTACATTTTTTTTGTAAGAGTATTAGTGGCCTGCTACTCAATAATATTGTGATATTCACAATTCGCCAAATAAAACGGTGCTATTTATTGATTTATTGGGCTTACTCAAACGAACAAAATAGAGAAATGATTTTGCTTGCTATTTTTGCAGTTGTCTTCTGCATTGGGTCGTTAATGACATTTAGTTATATATCCTTTGCTCAAAACAAACCTTACATGGATGAAATTTTTCATGTTCCCCAAGCTCAACACTTTTGTGACTCTAATTTTACAAAGGTAAATAAAGGTCTGGTGATTTGTACTCTATAATTTTCATACCCATGAATATATAATTTTCTGCTTAAGTAAAGAGACTCTGAGAGTTACATTTTCATAACTGGTAATATTTAAATCAATGGGTTTCTGTGAAACAACTCATTCGTATGTATAAAAACAAAAGTTTAAACAGAAACTACTTATAACACTTATGGTAGGCCTGAGCTGGCACTATTGGGAATGACAGACTATTCTCTCCCTTACATACATGTGACATCCCGACGGGAATTAAAAAAATCCCAATATTTCGACACTGATCCCGATATTACAGCTTGAATTCCCGATATTTAAAAAGAAAATCAACATAAAAAAATCAAACACAGCACCTGTATCTAAAATGTAATCCGTGCCTCCGGGCATTGATTGTTATCTGTCCATATCCTAAATTATAGCGGATTAAATGTTGAGTCACTAATTGACAGCAAGGTGACGTAATAAACAGTTCCAATACCCAAAGTTATTCTCACATGTTAAACTTAACACGTGTCGTGTGTAAGTCAATTGACCTCTTTTGTAATTTGGCAGTAGGTATTACACGCTACGTCATCAAAACTACCCTGTAAATTTACATGTATGAATTCGGCTCAACCTTTGATTTTCTTTGATTAGTGCCGCACTGATAAATATAAAAGGTGAGCAGAATCATTTAAAGTGGATCATTCAAAAACCTGTTTGAGATGTCTAATTAACCTATTTTTAGTGAGTGGGTAATTTTTTTGTTTTGTTTAGGAATTACACAATCATCCAGGCAAAAATGTGGATTTAATTAACGGAACGATTCTTGCATTTATTTTGAGTCTTCTACTTATGTTACGTTATTTAACTGTCAGAGTCTTATGTTCATGAATAGTTGTTGCACATTTTCAAATAGCTTGTGTTTTAAATTATTAGCCAATTATTGAATGACTGAAAAGACAGATATAATAAATATTCTTCAAACTGAAAATAATGAAATGTGAAAATGTGACTGTTTTAGAAATAGCCTGTATGACAACACTTATTTATTTATCTATTTATTTATTTATTTTTTGGTGAAATAAATTGATATTGATCAACAAAAAAATCATAAAAAGTATAATCATTTAATGATTTTGAGGGTAATATAGATTCTTTGAACCAAATGTGCCAAACAAGCATTGAAATTTGAGTCGATAAAAAAATCCAGTTTTGAGCCTCAAAATCCAGCTGAAAATCCAGATTTGGCCCATTTCATTTGTCACATGTATGCCCTTACCAGTTCCTCTCCCTGACGGTTCTCTCCAAAATTTGCAAATATGCAGACAGTTCTCCCCCATTTTGTCTATAATTTATCACTATGCCCCCACAATGTGGGAGCATATAGCGTTGCACTTGTCCGTCCGTCCGTCAGTCAGTCCGTCCGTACGTACGTCCCGAAATCTTGTGAACGCAACTCCTCTTAAACCGGATGACAGATTTTGCTTAAACTTACAGGGATGAACAACCTTAATGTGTAGATGGAAGTAAAGGAAGGAATTTTCACTGCGACCAAATTTAACAGAATTATGGCCCTTTGTTGATTTTTTCACTAGATACTATGTAAAAATTTTGTGAACGCAACTCCTCTTAAACCGGTTGGCAGATTTTGCTTAAACTTACAGGGATGAACAACCTTAATGTGTAGATGGTCGTAAAGGAAGGAATTTTTGCTGCGACCAAATTTAACAGAATTATGGCCCTTTGTTGATTTTTTCACTATATACTATGTAGAAATTTTGTGAACGCAACTCCTCTTAAACCGGATGGCAGATTTTGCTTAAACTTCCAGGGATGAACAACCTTAAGTTGAAGATGGTAGTAAAGCAAGGAATTTTTGCTGTGACCAAATTTAACAGAATTATGGCCCTTTGATGATTTTTTCATTATATACTATGTAGAAATTTTGTGAATGCAACTCTTCTTAAACAGGATGGCAGATTTTGCTTAAACTTATAGGGATGAACAACCTTTATGTGTAGATGGCAGTAAAGGAAGGAATTTTTGCTGCAACCAAATTTAACAGAATTATGGCCCTTGTTGATTTTTTCATTATATACTTTGTAGAAATTTTGTGAACGTAACTCCTCTTAAACCAGATGGCAGATTTTGCTTAAACTTCCAGGGATTTACAACCTTAATGTGTAGATGTTAGTAAAGGAAAGAATTTTTGCTGCGACCAAATTTAACAGAATTATGGCCCTTTGTTGATTTTTTGTCCAAAAAATATTTGACCTAGAGTCATAAGATTGACAGAACAGTGGCGTGTGGGGGCATCCGTGTCCTATGGACACATTTCTAGTTTTAGTTTTGACTTAATCTAATAATATTTCTTAATGAAGATTATTAAAAGAATGTGTTTGATATAAACTGCATTTTATGTTTTATGTTTATCAGCTGAAAAATGTTTAACACCTTTTTTTGGGTATTTTAATCCTATGAACACCTTCATTGTAGAGATACAGATTATTGGACAGTGATTGGACACCTGTAATTATGTTAAGGTCTAGCTTGTAAATACTTATTCATCAACACCTTTTCACAGCTGTTTTAATCTAATCAGTACCTTGATTCTTGAGTAATAAATTAATAAATTAAATAAACACCCCAATTATCACTAACAGCAAACTTAACACATGTGTGTATTGAACTCCTTTTTAGCTCACCTGTCACAAAGTGACAGGGTGAGCTTTTGTGATCGCTTTTCGTCCGGCGTCCGTCCGTCCGTAAACTTTTACTTTAAATGACATCTCCTCATAAACCACTAAGCCAATTTCATTCAAACTTCACAGGAATGTTCCTTTGGTGGTCACCTTTAAAAATTGTTCAAAGAATTTAATTCCATGCAGAACTCTGGTTGCCATGGCAACCGAAAGAAAAAACTTTAAATATCTTCTTTAAAAAAACCATAAGAGCTAGAGCTTAGATATTTGGCATGAAACATCTTCTAGTGAGTGTCTACCAAGTTTGTTCAAATAAAAGCCCTGGGGTCAAAATTGGCCCTGCCCCGGGGGGTCATTGATTTTCCCTATATGCATATAGTAAAAAATTAAAAAATCTTCTTTTAAAGAACCAAAAGAGCTAGAGCTAAGATATTTAGCATGAAACATGTTCTAATGAGTGTCTACCAAGTTTGTCCAAATAAAAGCCCTGGGGTCAAAATTGGCCCCGCCCCGGGGGGTCATTGATTTTCCCTATATGCGTATAGTAAAAACTTAAAAAATCTTCTTTTAAAGAACTCAAAGAGCTATGGCTAACATATTGAGCATCAAACATGTTCTAATAGTTGTCTACCAAGTTTGTTCAAATAAAAGCCCTGGGGTCAAAATTGGCCCCGCCCCAGGGGGTCATTGATTTTCCCTATGTGCATATAGTAAAAACTTAAAAAATCTTCTTTTAAAGAACCAAAAGAGTTAAAGCTAAGATATTTAGCATGAAACATGTTCTAATGGGTGTCTACCAAGTTTGTTCAAATAAAAGCCCTGGGGTCAAAATTGGCCCCTCCGGGGGGTCATTGATTTTCCCTATATGCATATAGTAAAAACTTAAAAAATCTTCTTTTAAAGAACCAAAAGAGTTAGAGCTAAGATATTAAGCATGAAACATGTTCTAATAAGTGTCTACCAAGTTTGTTCAAATAAAAGCCCTGGGGTCAAAATTGGCCCCGCCCCGGGGGGTCATTGATTTTCCCTATATGCATATAGTAAAAACTTAAAAAATCTTCTTTTAAAGAACTGAAAGAGCTATGGCTAAGATATTTAGCATCAAACATGTTCTAATAGGTGTCTACCAAGTTTGTTCAAATAAAAGCCCTGGGGTCAAAATTGGCACCGCCCTGGGGGTCATTGATTTTCCTTATATGTGAATAGCAAAAACTTAAAAAATCTTCTTTGAAAAAAACCAAATAGCTAGAGTTAAGATATTAAGCATGAAACATCTTTTAGTGAGTGTCTAAAAGTTTGTTCAAATAAAAGACCTGGGGTCAAAATTGGCCCCGCCCCGAGGGTCATTGATTTTCTGTATATGTGTAATTAGCAAAAACTTAAAATCTTCTTTGAAAAAACACAAATAGCTAGAGTTTAGATATTAAGCATGAAACATCTTCTAGTAAGTGTCTACAAAGTTTGTTCAAATAAAAGCCCTGGGGTCAAAACTGGCTCGGCCCCAGGGGTGTCATTGTTTTTAACTATATGTGTATAGTAAAAACTTTAAAAAAATTTTCTTTTAAAAATCCCAATGAGCTAGAGCTTAGATGTTTAGCATGAAACATCTTCTTATGGGTGTCTACCAAGTTTGTGCAAATAAAAGCCCTTGGGTTAAATTGGCCCTGCAACGTTTGGGGGGGGTTTGGGGGGGCCTATATACAGGTGAGCGACCTCAGGGCCATCATGGCCCTCTTGTTTCATTATACAAAAGTATGAAATTTAGCAATTAAAATTTATTAATCATTTTTTACTTACAAATTTCACATTTATTTATTAAATAAAATAATAATAATAATATCTTATGATTATCCTAATGTCGCAGTCCACTCTAACGATATGGGAAAGGTGCTGCTAAGAGGTTCTGGGCTTGAGGGTTGCTATAAAAATACAGAAATACGCTCTCAGAAAATATTTATTATGAATGAATACGAAGTCTGGCTTGCGCCATGAAAATCTTCAGTAGGAGTGCAAAGACAAAATAATGACAAATGACACAAAATCATGAATGACAAAATGTAGAATAACAAGTATGGGATCAATACAGACATTCATATTTACCTATAAAAATACAGAAATACGCTCTCAGAAAATATTTATTATGAATGAATACGAAGTCTGGCTCGCGCCATGAAAATCTTCAGTAGGAGTGCGCATGCTTGAAGGTTCTTAGTGCGGAAATAGAATATTTAAGATTGAGGCCTGTACCAATGGTTAGTACATACTTGTTAATAAATGAAGAAATGAGTAAATGAATAAAAGGAT